CGCCCTGCCCCGCCCCGCACAGCGCCACCGTGATTGACTCCCACGATTGTCATTGACACGTTGTTGCAGCGCCACGAGTAAATATCAGGCTGCTTGCAGTGTGCGCGATCGCAGTCAGACACAACAGACTGGATTACCCGCACGGGGTCTGCGCTGCGGTGACACTAGACCCCGCTTGCGATGTGCCAATGAATGAGCGCCTCGCGTTATTGTTTGTAAAAAATAAAACAAACAAAGTATCGCGGAATAAGTTTTGACTGAACGCGCCGTGCGAGGAGCTCTTGTCGGCCCGCTGCGCCTCTGGAGGCATCCATCTCCGCAGACAGGCAACGCGCGCGCCGAGATATGACGGTGTCGCGAAAAAATATGGATATTGCGCAGACTTGGCGCGGGCGTCATCTCCAAGAACCGATATATAAATAAATAAAAGGAGGATAGATGGTAGTGGGGCGTATCTGTGAACCGATCCAGGTCCAGATTGCAAAACTACGAATAAAACACTTCTACACTTCTTTTCTAATATTGGGAATAGGAGATAAACCTCCATTGCATCGAAGACAAGATAGATTTGACTTAACTCTGGTTTTGGTGGCTGAAATAGACTGATATGTGAAGTGTTCAACAAGCCTGTCCTTAAAGTGTTTAGCACTTTAGTTCCACATATTTCAATAAGTGCTCAGCCCCACTTTAAAATGTTCGGATTGTTTCCAGTCTAACACCTAGTCTGCTAGTATGCGAAACGCTGTTTAATATTTGCGATCCTTGGCAGTTGAACACTTTATTTCTATCAGTGTGCAGAGACGACACATCGCATCTTCAGCCGCGTCCAGTAGTTTGTTAGCGCCCGGCTCCAGCTTGCCCCGCACTACCGATCGGCTGTTTCACAAGGATATCGATACACGCCTGTCTCGGGCCATGAATGAAACATGACGAAGAGTAAATCATGTTCAGGCTTCTCTCACGCAAGCGAGTCAAGGCGAAAAGGCGCGATGGAGGCGGGAGGGGAGATGCCATTTCTATACCAATTTAACGAAGGATGTGCTTCTGCGCCAAAACGATACGATGCCGAACATTTCACAAGTGTCAAAACAGAGGATGAAGGATGCCGTCGCTAGCAGGGGGAGTGACACCTTAAGGTCCCCAACCGTGATCTCTGACAGTTGACTATATCTGATCCGTTCCGAGCTTCCTTCGCTTGCGCCCTGTGCTCTGCGCCCCTGCAGATCCTGCAAGTGCCTGCGACCGCCTGCAACCTATGCCCAGCAGCACTATTCTTACAAGTTTGAATGACCTCACACCCACATGGAACGCGTGTTATTCTTGTCTTTTAGATTACAGTTACTTCCTCGGTTTCTCCTCTTTATACAACACACTTTACATCGTGTCTGAAGACGAACAGGGATATCCTTGGTATAAACAGACGGAAATTGTTTTTACATTTTTCAGGATGAACGAGATGCTATTCTAGGTGGCTTGATACGTTGAACCCCGCCTCCTTTTACGCAGTGCATCGCACTCCATGGGATCGCAGTCGCGATGCTTGAAGTGATCGTGCAGCAGAAGTGTTGTGTTAAACTCTTCTAATATACACGCAAACTGCACGGCGTCTGTGCACTTTTGAAGGTCCGCTCGAATCTCTTACTCCCTTCATTGTGCTGCTTTCATACTCACCATGTTGCCGAGCCGGGCCGGGCGTTGGTGGCTGGTGTGATTAGGCCTCCTGCTGCTGCATTCCCCCCGCAGTATGATCTCAACCCGCGGCTGCTTCTCCAGCGACTCCTTCTGCGGCGATATTCTCCAGCAGGATGTGTGCTCTAGCAGAGTGTGCGCCCGGACAACAAGAGCTCTATCCTGGACGGGTGTCCTCTTCCCCGGCGCGGTCACGCTATCCAGTCAGGGTGGTGCGGCGGTGTCACTCTACAGCCCCGTCGACTCCTCGTCGTCCTGCCGTGTTTGTCGCCGCTGGCCTGCTGCTGCGAACGGACTGCCCGGGGAGACCCGCGCCGTACTCGTTTTGCTGCGTAAATCCCCTCCGCCGAATGAGGGAGAGAGGGGCGGCAGGCTGCGGGTCACTGGCGAGGGGGTGGAGGGGGATAGAAAGGACACGCCGCACGCGCGGGGAGGCGATGCCGGCGATGCCGGCGATGCGCTCACCTGCCGCGCTGCCCCGCCGCGCTGCCCTGCCGCTTGTTCGCACCCGACACGCGTGCGGACTGCGCTCGCTCAGCACGCGCTTAACGCGGTGGCAATCTGGGAAGTGAATCGATATCGCCGCCGTGCTCGTCGCGTGCCTGGCGCCTAATTCCTGGACGAGAGGGAGGAGAGGCAAGTTTGTTTCATTTTCTTTTCTGTTTTAGGGGGTTGGGGGGAAGAGGGGGGGACTGCAGCTGGTCGCTCCAGCGGCCATAATTCGAGAGAGGAACCGAACAGAGCACATCGTCCCGCCCGGGAGTGAAAGAGAAGCGGAGAAAAGGGAAAGGAAAGCACAACGCGCGTAAAGTACGTGGGTCACACGGCTTTGGCACGGTGGCACATCCGCGCGTGTAGAGAGTTTTGGGGGGTTTGGCAGCAGGACGAATTAAACCCGGACCGAGTCATTGGCAGCACGCCTGCACCTGTTAGTTCCTTTCCGTCTGCGTCCGCTACGTGACGAGACTGGTGAAGTTGATCCACCACGACCTGCCGGCGCCAACCCCGCCCCGCCCCGCCCCGCCCCGCCCCGCCCCGCACAGCGCCACCGTGATTGACTCCCACGATTGTCATTGACACGTTGTTGCAGCGCCACGAGTAAATATCAGGCTGCTTGCAGTG